AAATAAATAAATAAATAATTCAGTGTCTTAACAACTATCAGATACACACAATCCTGGAAAATAAAGAATTAAAACAACTTAACAAATGACAAAGACCTAAACACCATTATTTTTCAAGTGATGGTGACTACACATCCTTTGATATCTAAACCAATTCCTTAGGTTAAAATTCACTGATTTAAGTCACAGTTAAAATATAGTCAAAGACTGAGAATCATCCACTGATGAATTAATTATCTCAGAGGGTTTAAAATTTAAAATTATTTCATTCTAGAAGACAATGTTGACCAAATTACAACTGACTTTTTCTATGAAAGTAGTTGGACATAGAGACAGGAACAGCTCCTACAATATTTCAACAGGAAGAAGAGTTTCACGGTTCTTTCCTTCCTTCCTCCTTTAGTTGCTGCTTTTCTGGTTTTAAAATTTCAAACAAAGAAATACATATTGGCTCCAATGCTAAGAAACGCCCTCTTTCTCAGCAACTTCCTCTTCCAATTTTCTTCCCCACCATTGACATATGAGAACAATACCCAAGGCCAGTCCTACCATTTTGATTAACCAAAAGCTCTGAGGCTTGGAAAAATTAAGGGCTACAATTTATAGTACCTAACTACTGCCTATCCAAACCCACAATCTTCACTTATCTAGAAGTAGATAACAGAGAGCACAAAGAAAGAAATATTAAGCTTAATCAGAGGTGGGCTATTGAACCTTTCACCCCAAGGAATCCAAAGAAATAGGAACCAACAAATGAGAAATTTTTCCCATCCCAAGAAAATGTGGCCTTCTTAGGAAAGAGAAAAAGCTATGGGGCCAGCACCAACCTGACCCAAAAGTCCAATCTATTCACTAATAGCTGGTGACATATCTTCTCTAGGCCTATGGACCAGGATTCAAATAGAGCTCTTTGAGGTTCTTATACACTTCAAAATGACTCTTACTAGCTTAGAAATTATCCTTTCCAACTCACAGACTGAACAAAGGGGATGGACTTACAATTAACCAGAGATCAAGACTTCTCCCTGCCAGAAGTCAAATCAAATGTCTGGGGCCATGCCCCTCCCCGTCATTGGTGGCAAAGCAAACTTTCCAACTTTTAAGTGGGCAGAGACTTTACCCCTGGCCAGAGATTCTCAGAGGATACTTAAGTGTGGGTAAGCTATCTACTTTACTGTGTGGCCTTGGGCAAGTTACTTAACTCCTCTGAAACTTAGTTTCCTTATAGGCAAATATTTAAAGGGGGCTGTAAAAATTAAATAAAAACATATCCCTGAGCAAGGTCTGACACATAGTAGGAGTACCATCAATGTTCTCCCTCTTCCTCCTTACCTCCCTGACCTCTGGGCCTAAATTCCAATCACAGCCAAGAGGATCCAAGGGGTCCTTCCTTCTGATTCCATGGACAATTGCATAAAAACAACCCCATCTCAGAGGCTCTAGGATTCCTGGGTGTTATATGTAGACCCCACTTCACCCCATCGTGGTCTGGGTAGCACCCATGGCCTTTCTGGAAGAGCCCGGTTAGCCAACTCTCTTCCCTGCTCTGCAGGCCATCTTGTACAGACACACTGTACTCGTTGGCCTCCCCGCTGCTCCACAACTTAGCAGGCCAAGAGATTCAACCAGCACCTAAGTGACTTCACGGTGCAGAAGCGGAAACTGAGGCTCAGGCTAGGGAAGAACTTGCCCAAGATCTCAGACAATAGCTGAGACCCAACTATTTATTTGTCGGTACAACTACCGACAAAACCTTCGTTTTACAAATGGGGAAACTAAGGCCCAGAGAGGGAAGTGACACGCCCAAGACTACACAGCGAGGTAGTGGCAGAGCCAGGTCAGAATGGGCCACTTTGACAACCTCACAGACTTGCGGGCCCCTCCAAGTCTTCGAGGGGAACTCCAGGTCATCCCCGCTCTGAGGGGGAGGGGGTGGACTAAGACACCACCCCGCGCTGACCGCTCGCCCGGCCTCTCCCGGTCCACAGCAGGAGGCGCGGCACCCACTCCCCCCGGACCCTGCGCGGCTCGTGAAGGGTGGCCCGCCTGGGGCCTCGCGCCTCAAGGCGGGGGTCTGCCCAAGGGGACTTGTTGCTCACCTGGCCTCCTGCAGTCGCCCTCAGCGACAAGAAGGGCCGGTCCGCCGCCCAGTCTCCACACGGGGTCTGCTCCTGCGGACCGCCTCGCGGGCTGCCACACAGCAGGACCCCCCTCAAAGCGATACGCCCCCAGCCGCGCTTACACGGCCCCTGTCCGCCATTATGCGATTCCCCGCCCTGGGACGCAGCCACACCCCGCCAACGGCCCTGATTGGTTCCCTGTCTGAACCGCCTGGAGCTTCCGGGCATTCCATTGGCCTGAGTGCCACGCCAGTTAAATAACTACGCAAAAGACGTACTCCGGGGAGCTGTCCCAGGAGCTACACCCGGGCGACTTCCGCAAGCGGAGTAAACAGCGGGGGGCAAACCAAGTGACAAGGGAGTGGAGACTAAAGTAAGTCAACGTCTAAGTGCAGACTAGGGAAATCCCACCTGAGAAAGTGTAAAAACTTGTATAAAGTGTGTTAAAAGATGAATGCTTCTTGATAGAGTTCCGAGAACTAGTATTTATGACGGACGGAAGGGGCCAAGCCCACAAACTTTCTGTATACACCCCTCAAGTTGGAGATAGTGTTGTCCCTTCCCTCAGGTCTCAGCCCCAGCGGAAAGTAGGGTGGGGAGAGTGAGTAATTCCGCTCCAGCCAGCCCTAAAAGATCCATCCGGGGCGAGGCCTGAGTCCTGGCACAGGAAGCTAGGTCTGAAAGGCCATGGTTAAGTGAGCTGGACCCTGATTCAACTGCCACCTCACTTTGGGCCTCAGACAACTCCTTGAACCTTTCTGGGTCTTAGTTTAAACTTGTGCAAAATAGAAACAGTCATATCTGCCTCATGACCTGGAGTGGTTTGTTGAGGATTCATGCATGAATAGACAGACTCCTCTTCTTGCTATAAAAGGCTGCAGCTAGCGTTAACATGGTGACGAATTCACAAGTTGGCAAAGATACCTCATTTCGTTCTCTAGAGCAACCTTGTCAGGCAGGTATTATCCTCGTTTTCCGAACAGAAAATGGAGTGTCCGTGACTTACCCAGGGAATTTGAAACAACGCTGGGACTTAAATCTGTATCTTTTGGCTTCCATTTCTAGATTTCTCCCTTCCAGGCCTGGTGTCACCTGAAAAAGACTTCTGTCCCTCATCCTATTAGCGTTCCAGATAAAAATCTTAAGACTGCCAGCCCAGTCCCCATCTCTCTAGTCACTCTAGACTTGGGCACAGGCCATCCGTCTAGCTATTGTTAATCACCAAGTTCTTCAGAGAAAGTGGCCCTAAGGATATACCCAAGCTATATGGGGGTAAAGGATAGTGGGTGAGTTAGGAACCTACACAAAATCCCAAATGAGAACACAGAAGTTCCAAGAGGGGCAGTGATGCCATTGTGGGCCCTCAGCAGGGCAGCCTCCACGCCAGGACTTAAATCCACGTTTCTGCTCACAGAACAGGGTTCTTTTCACCACAGGATTGTTTTTCCCAGAAGGGCCGCCTTGGCTGTAATTCCTAGTCCTTTTCCCTCCCTGGAAAGGAAGGAGGCCAAGAACAGAGTGGGAGGGAAAGCAGCCTAAGATTTTAGAAGAGCAGAGACCGCCAACAGGGTGGTGCCAACAGGGCGCCCAGTGATATCCAAGTTGGTGTCCTCCAGGCTCTAATCAGGACATGTGGTCTGACAACCAATGACTATAAATCCTGGCTGTGGCTGTTAGGTGCTGGGAGGCAGCTATGCAGAAGGCAATGGCTCTGGGGTCAAACGAACCTGAGATTGAATCTAAACTCCACCACTTTCTAGTTGTCTGAGTCTCACCTACCTTTTCTCAAAAATGGTTACAATAGAGCAGTTGTGAGTATTCAATGAGTTGATTGTGACATCAACGAGTCTTGTGTATAATGTGCCTGGTAGCTATTTATTCATTCATAGATTCGTGCATCCAATAAAAAATTATTAATCACTGACTGTGTGGAGGGCAGCCTGCCAGTGGCACAGCTACAAAGGTAAGCAGAACAGATTCAGACCCTCATTGAGCTTAGAATTTGGTGAAGGGAAAGTCATTAACTGGGCGGCATCTGTGGCTCATTGGGTAGGGTGTAAGCCCCGCATACCAAGGGTGTCAAGTTTGAACCCAGCCCCACCAAACTGCCACAAAAAAAAAACAGGCATTGTGGCGGGCACCTGCAGTCCTAGCTACTCAGGAGGCTGAGGCAAGAGAATTGCCTAAGCCCATGAGTTAGAGGTTGCTGTGAGCTATAATGCCACAGCACTCTACTGAGAGTGATAAAGTGAGATTCTGTCTCTAAAAAAAAACAAGTCATTAACCAAATGATCAGATGTATCAAAATACACTTCAAAACTGAGATAAGTAGCCTGGTGTTGTGACAGACGCCTGTGGTCCCAGCTACTCAGGAAGCTAAGGCAAGAGAATCGCCTAAGCCCAAGAACTGGAGGTTACTGTGAGCTGTAACGCCACGACACTCTACCCAGGGTGACATAGTGAGACTCTGTCTCTAAAAAAAAAAAGAAAAGAAAAGAAACCTAGATAAGGAACAAGAAGGCAAAGTACAATGCGTTTATGAGAATGGATATCAAAGAGGTGGGTGGGGTCAAAGGAGACTTCCACTCAGGAATGGGCAGGAGACTGAGAGAAGCGTTGCAGGCCAAGAGAAGGTGTGTGGAAGATATGTAGGCCAACGGAGGAGTTGTGGCAGTGGGGAAGGCAGGGCACCCAGGGCCTGTGGGCCACCAGAGAGGGTACCATGGTTATTGCTGAATAAGTTAATAAGGGTATTAACAAGAGAAGGAACTTGGCTATGGAAGTGGGCTCTTCATGGGTCTCTGTACTTTTCTGGAAGTCCCTGAAAGAAAAAGAATGTAAGGGGTTTTTTTGGTTTTTTTTAGAGACAGAGTCTCACTTTGTGACCCTCGGTAGAGTGCTGTGACGTCACAGCTCACAGCAACCTCCAGCTCTTGGGCTTAGGCGATTCTCTTGCCTCAGCCTCCCAAGTAGCTGGGAC